AAATTCCCCAATATTTCGTTAAATAGAATTCTTCCTGCAGTATATTTGTTTGGTTCGGAAGATAGCATTTTACTTGATTACCGTTCTCATAGTTGCTTTTCCACATACTGCCGGGGTTCTCTGATATAAATTTACTATGCCTGCGGAATTCCTTATTGGGAATAACTATCTATATTAGCTTTTCCTCCTTTCTTTGTGTTTACACACTTATTCACAAAACGCTCTCCAAGAGGTGCGATAAATTTGCTTTATAGACGCTTCAGATTACGACTTTTCTCGATTGTGTATTCGATCTTATATATGGCTCATTGAAATATATGTATTTATATTTTTATTTGCACACAATTTCACACATTTGTAGTCAATCCAAACATAAATTTTTGATCAGTTACTCATTTGGAACTAGGTTTCTGCTTCTATTTTTTTGTCAAACCTTCAGTATATATGTAGTTAATAGAAAATAACACAAATATTTCCAAACGATGGCAAATGATCCAAATTGCAATGTAAATTTAAGAGAAATCTATATGCATATAAATAAATGGATGAATGTCTGATAAATGTGTAAATTATTAAGAAAATTTTTCTCCTAAAATTATTAAGAATTTAAAATTAAGAAGTTTGACAGGTTTATCATAATACATATTATATTTTTACAGTGGAAAGATCTACTGAAATCTATATTAGTTATATGTTACTCAGGAAAAGTTGTTATTTAGTTGTATGTCCTATGTCGATCTATGTCCTAAGCATTCATGAACCATACCTCCGATCGTCGTGAAAATTTGGGAAACTGTTAGGTTTATAACCGGACAGATTTTCACATATTTTGATTGAAGCTGTGAGGATTGGCCACCCCGAATGTTATTTTCAACTTTCCGTAAGGTAAGTTATTGTAATGGGCCGAAAATCGGAATTGAAAATTTTTACATTTCTCGAAGTTTTGAAGGTTTCTGAACATTTTGGCATACTTCAGAAAAAATGGGTGTGTGTGTGTGTGTATGTATGTATGGATACAAATTTCCAGTCATGTTTTCGGGCACACGGATCAACCGATTTGAATGGTTCAAAAAATATTCGATTTCTATTGATAGGGAAAAGAGCTGATTAGTTTTTGGCAAAGGCAGGTCCAGCCGTTTCGGAGATACGGAGCAAAGAGAGCATAAAATAGAAATCGACTTTTTGAGAGAACGGAGTATCTGATTTGAATGATCTAAAAAACATTCAATTAGTAATGATTGGGAGAAGTATTTATTAGTTATTGGCAAAAGCAGGCCCAGCCATTTCGAAGATACGCAGCTAAATATGTAAAAAACGGCAGTTTTTGAGAGAACTAAGCGTCCGATTTAGATGATTCAAAGAACTTTCTGCTTGTCTTCACAAAATAATTAATTTTGGAAAAAAAATTTTTGTTCTAACTTTTTTTTTTTTAATTTTTTGTATATCGAAAATAATTCAGATTTTATTTTTGATTCTGACTATAGTTCTAATATACTTTACAAATAATTTCAATTTTGCAATTCAGTTTGTATCATTCTTATAAATATTAGACAATGTTACAATATTTATAATAATCTATTTGAAAACATTCAGTATTCCTCGAACATTTCGTTACGGTACGGGAAGTTCCAGCAATTTGCCTTAGGGCACGATGCCATAATTGCCTCAAGACAGAATTCCACTTACAGCTAGTTTTTTAATTTTTAGGACAATTTTTATTTGTTTTATTTTTTATAATAAAATTTAACCCCCGATTTTGTGAACATTAATAAAAAATTAAAATTAAAAAGTTTTTTAAGCTTGTCATAATAGAAATAGAATAAACTCCAAGAAACTTTTTGCAAATACAGATTAAAATAAGAAAAATAGCAAAAGAAACTTATTTCTATACTTTTGTCAAAGTGTGTCCACTTAATTGTATTCTAAAATAGTTTCAGGCGCTATAAACCTTTACTATATTAATATATTTGCCTGGCACTGGCTTTAAGTTGTGAGTTAGATTCGCCCCTAATGAATGTGAAATCACATTATGTTCAGCGGCGTGAAATAAGCTCGTTAGAAGAGTTTGAAAAACTTTATTCTTTAAATTTCCTCTTAAGACTATATATAAAACTATAATATTAATTCTATCGCAAGTTTTATTTGTCTGGGGTTTTTTTCACTTTAAAGGAAAGGATAATTTTCAGTAGCTGTAAGTGAAGCTAATATTGTTTTGTAGATTATTATTGATTTCTAATGATCTTTTTGAGCATTTGGAGGACGAAACTTTTTGTCAAACAAGAAGGTAATAATCTTTGGAAAAAAATTACATAATTTTTACAAAAAAATTGGATAAGTTACAAAGATGGCAGCATCACAGGGATAATTATGTAAAGTTACAAGAAGTTAATGCAAAAAGATGAACGTTAATGCCCTGAGAGCAAAGAAAATCAAAAATATCCATATTTAGGACCACCCTAAATTTATATATATAATATATATATATATATATATATATATATATATATATATCGGGTCTATGATGTACAAGCAGAGGAGGATCCTGTTCTAATTAGTATGTCTTGAGCGTGTCTGGCTATAGAAAATACGATATCGTGTACAAATATTAATGTTATTTTCTGAATTTAATTTCCTTGATATACTGCTTGTGTCTGGGTCCGTGATTAAAGTTACTCACGTAGATACACTCAGAAACTTTCATTACAGAACGGCGGCAATAAAATAATATACGCCATGTAATATGTATATTCTTACGTGCCGTACATTTGTATTATATTTAAGATTTTACTGCCGATGTAATTTAAGGCATCAAGGATTTAATATCTGCTTTAACTTAATTATGATATTTCTGAAGAAATTGTTGCAATGTTGTCTCTGTGATATTTTTGAAAAAAAAAAATACTTTGTATCTTGTTAATTGACAAAAAAAAATAGCAGCTGCATATTTACTAATAGTCGTAAATGGCAATTAAATTTGGCTTTGATCAATAGAGTATGTAAACATCGAATAATTTATAATTTAGATTTACAATTGCCTATGTGTATATATATATATATATATATAAAAGTTATTTAATAATAAGTTTCCATTTCTTACATTTCTCGTATATCGTGTTGAATATATCGTATGATTTCCTTTTGAAATATAAAGTAACAAAGTTCATTTACTTCATATTGACACAAATGTATGAACATTTTTACATATTTTAACAAATAAAAATAAAAATACTGCCAATCGTTATAAGTAACATTCATTTAGTATATTCTCCAGAATTCAGAAAAAGCTGTTTTGTTAATGACTTTTTAACCTAGAAATATTGGGATGAATAATCCCAATTATTGATAAAGGATAATTAATTCCAATTATTATGAGTAAAATTTTTCACGTTTTTTCAAATTAAAATATTGCAAAAAAATACATTAGTTTTGCAATTTTTACAAATAAATATGAAAATACTAGCAATACTTTATAATATTACATTCATTTGGTATATTTTTCAAATTACAGAAAAGGTTGTCGTGTTAGTGACTTTTTACGCTAGAAATTAATTATTATTAATCCCAATAAGGGATAATTAATCGCCATTTCTATAAGTAAAATTTTTCAAATATTTTTATAATTTTCTAAAAAAATAAAAATATTGCGAACAAAATTTAGTAGATAATATCAACTGCGAACAAAAATAGAATCGTATCGTAATCGTAATCGTAATCAAATCAGAAGTTAAAGTAAACTCGAGATCAAAATTTTAAATTATTTCCAAAAAGCAAGTACATTTATTGTCTTAAATAAACTTGGTATGTGTAATAACCATACATTCAAATTTTTACTCAAAAATATTAATAACAAATATCTACTACTTGCTTTATTGTGGTGCAAACAGATATGAATTGCAACGAACTTTGAATTTAAATACCATTTTTTTCATCTGTACAATATGTTTTATAAATATTTATATGATTGATGACACATTACGTGTCAATTCGTAATCTCTCATTTTTTAATTTTTTGCAATTAATTAACTATGATATGATGCTGAAGAATTTGAACCAATCAAGAACACACTGTTACATAAAATTAATTGTATCTCAGACGCAAATTCATCGCAAATTTAATTCAAAATAATTAACATAAATTAAATATAGCAAAGAGTATCTTAAAAATAAGACGTTGAAATTAATTCTATTCTACAATGCTAATTTTGAAAGCAGAAACACACGATGGCTCTCAATTAAATCGTATCGCCCGTTTGAAGTCAAGTTGTTCTTGTATCCATTGCTTTATTTACGACATTTAATAAAATCGTAATTTCAAACAAAATATATTTGACGACCCCAGAAGTAGCAGAAAGGCGGGTTTTTGCATAAACTTTGCCTACAATTTTCATCCGAAACTTGTAACATAAACTTTATGTTCTAGCAATTATGTTTTCAACAAGGAATAATTTAATGATTCGTGAAATGACTTTGTAGAATTTTAGGTGTATTTTCATATAATTTAATCGATTCGCATTACTTTGACACAATAGTAATATTATTTGCAATGGCTATTTACGATAATTTGAAATCTGAATATCAAGTTAAAACCATCGACATTAATCACGTTATTTTTTCAAAGACATTTTATTCAATTTAAAAATAATAAGTTAAAACCATCGCCAATATATTGTTCATAAATTAAATTGTTTTTTATTAGAAATATATTTTAGTAAACCTAATGTTGTTATGCCACTATTTATTCACAAAATAATTTTAATTAAAATTCAAGTACTTCTGAGTAATGCATTTATATTTTTGGACCATTATAATAATATATTTTGGACTAAAGATCACATATGCCTACTATAAAATATTAATATTATATTAAAATAAGTTTTAATACTTCTCAAATTGCACAAAAACCATTCGTGGGAAAGAACTTGTACAACTAGGAACTTTTCGAGATTTTAGTTCACAGAAAAATGTATAAAGTTTTGCAAATAATTTTTAAGTGAAACTATCAAGAATTTTGTTATAAACTGCAAAAATATAATATACAAGATTTGGCCTGAATTGGACAACTTTTAAATCTTCAGTAGAATAAAAACTTTAGGTATTTAACAAAATTAATATCAATATGCAGCAGGTAAAAGCAAATCATATGTTTTGAAAAAAAACATTTGATCGAAATTTAAAAGGTGTAGATTCTAAGATACTATAAAAATTCAAAGTAAAATTATTTCAAAAGTATTTACACCAAATAAATCCTCCATCAGAATTTTGACTGAATGACTGAATACATACTATAGTTTTATAAAAAATATTTAAATTTAATTAATTTTTAGTTTTTTAACTGACTCTGTTTTATATTTGTCAATTATACTATTGTTGCTTGTGTATTATCCAAGTATGGTATGTATAACTTAGCCAAAATTTCATAATTTTTTGCTTGATACTTTCTCATACTTAGATTTTGAACTTCAAGTATAATTAATTCAGCAGCAAAAATGTGTAAATATATATATATATATATATATATATATATATCTTCAGCTTAATATAACAATCTCCAATATAATACTATGGATTTCGCACATTTTCCAACCGAAGATAAATTGCAAATGGAACGTTTTGCAAAACTACTTCCATTTGCGCAGTTTTTTATCGTTCGGTCGATCCGCAACCATTTTAAAGTTCAGTTGAAACCAGAAAAAAGTTTAAGGTTTATGATTCGAAACTTGAAGTCATGAGAGGTTTAAGCTTTGGTGGTGTAACAAACAATTCTAAGATGGGATATTGGAAATACTGTTGAGAATGTAGGGTAGACTAGGTACGGTTGTGCTTCTTTTTTTAATCAAAATTTAAATAAAAATATAAATTTTGTTAAATTACAGATGGCTTGGAGAAAAGTAAGTCAAATGGTAACTTTTTCCAACATGTCCATTTAGTATACAATGTCCCTTTATGGCTTGCAATTGTAAATTCCCCAAATTTATTAAATGTCCTTAACTGGACAGTTGTAAATAAAGTATAGAATTAAAATAATGGTGACTTGAACATTCTTCTATGTGGAACTACTAGAAAACTGTAATCTAATACAATGGATTAGTCATAAAATCAAATCATACAAGAAAAAGGCGAGTGGCACAACCGACCACACCTCCACGCCAACCAATCAAAATGGTTTATGAGGACTTGTATTGACAGAATTTTTAACACAATACAACATAAATATTTAAATAAAGTTTATGAATATAATATAAGCAAGCAACAGCTAATTACTGATCTTATATTTTTTCATGAGATAGTAAATAGCTTAATTGATTCCTCTGAAATACTAGAAAAAATTAATTTGATGAGCCCGAGACAAGGACTAATATCAAACCGTATTGCGCAAACTTCAAAAACCACAAAAAACTATATATTAAACTCATGAATAGAGTAGCAATGGTGGTCAACAAACAGTGCTCGAAACTTTTTTAATTTCTCACATAATACGTTTATTAAAATTTTTAAAAAGAACACTAATTAGAATCTTTTAACGTTACTAGTGTGTCTGAGTCTATATACAGGTGCATGTGTGGGTGTATGTATCGTATGTGTTTGTATAAATAACATATAAGATTACTTTATTATGTTATATTACATTACTATATGACTAACTGTATATAACCGGTTGGCGTCTAATAAATAAATCAATCAATTAATTAATTAATTAATATAACAATATATAACGAAACAAATCATGTTATTGTAGAGCGCTGACTGAGTGCAATATTGGAAACTTGTTAGGACAAACATACTTCATTTTTCTCCCTTTGGACTCAAAATCAGTATAGTTTAGCTGTTACGACGACTGTGTCTAATGTACCCTGGCACAACCGTACCCAGTTAGTACCCTGGCACAACCGTACCTCTTACTTGGTTATTCTAAAACCCACTTAAAGTTAAAGTAGTCATAAGCTCTTGAAATATTCATAACCCCTAATATATTTTTATACTATTCAAATAAGACAGAAAGGAAATATTATACGGATAGATATATTATCTTATGCAAGTGGAAGAATTTACCGGTGTAATAAGAGATTGCGCGTTGAAATGTGTGCAGCAGATCATCACATCAGCAGCAATAGGTAGAAAAATGTACAAAAATGTAAATTACATCTGGAGGTCTCATGAGTCCCAGGGTTTAAGAGTACAAGTTTCGGGTTTTGCGTCAAACATTCCTATGACATACTAATTCAAAGGCAGTTATTCACCGAGCATAAAGTTGTCTACACGTTGTTACTGTCTAACAAAGCGCAGCGTATTCCCTGTTCATTCGCATATAAGCGTTTTGAGCGTGTTGACACACTAAATCCTACTACCGTTTATGTTTTGTCGCTATAACTATCTCATCATAAGGGATTATATCTATATTTCACATCCAAAGGTTCCTAAAATGGTATTCTGAGAAACACCATAGCTGATCGAGGCAATGAGTCGCAAAACTGGAGTCCGATTTTTATATATAGTCTAATGGTATATATCACTATCATAATATTTATAAATGTTTTGGGGTTTTAAACAAAATATCTGTATTATGATTAAAAGTACTTTATACGAGTATCATTCGAGGCGAAAGGGATCTCGGGATCGAATCCTGTCATTGACTTAGAATTTATGAAAAAATATTTGTAATTATTTGAAAATTAAATAAAATTAGATTTTTTGAAGTAGAATTTGAATAAATAATTGGGAGTAAAAAATAGAAATTACAGAATTCGAATAGATGAATCGTATTAAGAGTGAAACGAAAAAAAGGCAAGGAAGAAGGAAGATAGAAGTTAAGTAGAATTAGAAATTTGAAATGGAAGAGCAAGAATTAAAGAGAGAAAATGAAGAAGTCAAATTGAAACAAATCGAAGAAGAAAAATATGGAAGAATATAGGATAGGATAGCATATATATACCAAATTGATGTATGGCAACGTCTTTAAGGGAAATTGCACATTGTTATCTTGATGTCTTGAAACAAATGAATTATTAAAGAGTTTTTTGATATTATCGAATTTTTTAAAAAAAATATAGTAGGTATTACTTTCACAATTTTGATTTTTAACACATGCATTCAAATATTTTCACTTTTTGAAGTTTTGAAATATATTCCAAACTATTGAGTATTAAACATCAATACCCCATATTATTTGTTTTTCCTCGTGTATTACAAGATTATTAGATGGTCTTGCAAAGTCAAGAAAGATATGTAAGAATCTTGTTTGATTCAGGTGTAATTTCAACAGATTTTGCAAATTTCATTAAACATCAAATATTTTTATAAGGTAGTCATGAATATACATATGGATACATAACATAAAAATTACAAGCTTAGGAACATATTTAATGAGATTATTTCTACATTTTTTATGTGAATGTTCTCAAAATGTAGTACGAAGCAAGAGACATAATGTCCAACGAATTTTTTTTATAGAATCAATCAAATTGTTAAAAAAATCAACATTGTTTTCACCAATTTTACTTTCAGGATATACCTAAAACTATTTAAAAAAATTAGTATAAAATAACTGAAGCAATTATATACCTGAAACTGAGGTCTCCGACAACGAATCGGTTTGCCAACATAACACGTTTTTCATTTGATCGATATATATATATATATATATATATATATATATATATATATATATATATCTACTGCAATGAATTGAGTTTCTCATAATTTCTTTTCAGGTCCTGCATTTTGGGGTCTAATAAATCCTGAATGGTCACTATGTAACAAAGGTCGAAGGCAATCACCTGTGAATCTGGAGCCTGACAAACTTTTATTTGACCCAAATCTGAGGCCCTTGCACATTGATAAACATAGAGTAAGTTGAACAATTAATTTTTAATAATTATATATTTCTTATTAAACAACATTACAATTTATTCGAATTTGCAATTTGTAATATTTGCAATTGATAGGCCAATTTGTTAGAAAATTGTAATTATTATACACTCAAATGATTATCACTCATACAATTTTAATATTTGTTAATACTAATCGTTAACATAAATCATTTTTGAAAGATACTTCTATTGAAGAATAAATTTAAATTACACATTTTGTATTCGTGAAACATATTTTTATACAATTTTCTTATTAATGATTTGACTCAATGCTAACGTAAAGTAATTTTAGAAAGTTTAAATATATTTTTGATTATGATTTGATGCATATTTTCTGTAGATGTTCATTTATAGTAGTTCATGTTTATAAAAAAAAATAATAATGATTCTTTTACATTTGATGAGGTATTTTGATTTATATCATAGTATAAATAATTACTGCTAAAAATTCTAGTGACTAAAAAACTAAGGATCAAAATCAATCAAAATACCCTTAAACAATATGAAAAAATTAATGAATATCACTTAATTTTTTCTCTTTTGTATACTTTCATTAGCGACACCTAGTCAAATGCAATGCATTCTACAATATGTCTTCTGTCTTTTTTCTATCTTCGATATTGCCATCATTTTGATCAAAATATTTCGATTTATAAAACGTTTCCTCCATTCATCTGAGGTCATAAATGTGAAGAGGACATGAAATATTTCCGATACCCATTTTGTTTTACAGCGTCCTCTTCGGCTGCATGAATTATAAATTGCTTCCAATATGCACCAATGGATATATACTCTTGGGGACGTCTGAGAAGTGCAAATATCCCGTATATTGCTTCAGTAAAGAAGAAATAGTGTAATGTTTTCTGGCTCAATTTGATTATTTGTCTTATCGATCGACGAAGAAGTTATATACATTGTAATTATAAGCTTGAAAATAATTTGTCAGTAGCAATTTTATGTATACGATTAGTAAATGCTATTGGCAAAAGCTCTACGCGTCTAGTTTTGTTACCATCATTGTTAGCAAAATGCGTTTTTTATTATTTGTTATTAGAGATACAATCATCAACATATATTATTTATTATAATATTTGCTTTTGATTAATTAAATTAGCTTTTTTCGTAATTAATTGTAGAATTTTTGAAAATCTTGATAAATCTTTGCACAATCATGGAGTTCGTAGCCTATGGACATTCTAAAATGTTATAGGTATACAAAAATTAATTTAATTAATTATGAAAATTGATTATAGGCCACGCTCTTAATTTCTTAATCTTAATTATCTCTATTCTTTATCTTAATCATTATTATCTCTCTATTTCTTTATCTTAATTTATTTATTTTTCCTTTCAGATAAGTGGAAGTATATTAAACACTGGCCATTCTGTGATATTCAGTGCGGACAACGAGTCCAATCCTGGAGGAATTGGTGGAGGGGCCCCTCATGTAAACTTAACAGGAGGGCCCTTATCTTACAGATATCGGTTTCAGGAAATTCATATTCATTACGGGCTCCACGACCAATTCGGCTCTGAACATAGTGTAGGAGGTTATTCGTTTCCAGCAGAAGTGAGTAATAATTGCATAAATTTTAGAAATAGTTTTAGATACTGCTTTATACTAAGAATTTTAATGGCAATTATATGACAAAATCGCAAATTAAACAATTTTATTAGATATTTTGCAATACAAAATTATATACTTATTCATAATTGGTTTTGAGAGAGCGTGAAGACAGGGGTCACATTGGTAAATTTTGATAATAATGAATTTTCCTATTATTTCATTAAATATTAAAATAGATATTTTGATTAATATATAATTTAGTGCAAACTCAATATTTAATAAAAGTTCAGTTTCCAAATCGATAGATAAAAACGTTTCACTAGAAACTTATCTCAAACTGCAATAAAGATATACAACGTAAAAGATAATAAATATTTACAGCTAGTAAAAAGTTTAGAGTGCACTAAAATTAACGATGTTATTTGATTCGTATTTTAAAAAGTATTTCATAATCAAATATATTTTATATCTAATTTTATTCGGATATTTATACTGAAAATATATTTACTATAAAATAGTTTTGATCGTAAATCTTTTTTATTATAAATTGGTTTTCAGTTTATTTTATTAGTTATAAAAATTTATATGTTATTTAATGTAATTGAATTCTGTTCTATCTATTTCACTAGTATATGATTCATATTCACCTAACATATTAATAAGATTTAAAAATTATTTGATTTCTTAATTGCAAAAAATTCAGCAATCATCTTCATAGTTTTATGTATTGCCAAAAATATATATTCCTATAACAAAAAATATACATATCATAATACCAAAAATTGGAAATTGTTGCAAAAATTTAACATTTAATGAAAATTTAGAAAACCGTCATGTTTCTTCTTTGAAATAAAGTAAAACATATTCTTACACATTTTTTGCATTTCCGAATCCGCAAGACCTGCTTTTGCTAAAAACTAATCACCACTTTTTCCCGTCATTACAAATTGAATGTTTTTAGGATCATTAAAAACGGATGTTCCGATCTCTTAAAAACTCGATTTCTATTTTCTGCACTCATTGCTCCATTTCTCCAAAACAGGTGGACTTGCCTTTGCAAAAAACTAATCAGCACATCTCCCTATCAATAAAAATCGAATGTTTTTTAAACCATTCAAATCGGTTGATCCGTACGCCCGAAAAGGTGACCGAAAAATTGTATCCATACATACATACACACACATCCATTGTTTTGAGGTATGCCAAAACGTTTAGAATCCTTCAAAACGTAAAGAAATGTAAAAATTTTCAATTTCAATTTTTGGCCGATTACAATAACTTACCCTGCGGGAAGTTAATAATAATAGTATATAATTATTTCGGAAGTTCGTGAACAAAAATACATACACATTTGAAGTAAAAGTAATAAAAAAACAAGTTTTCATTGGCGTATCTCAGAAATTGCAGGATATCTTTAAAAATAACCGATGACTTCGAAAACAAATCAAATATTTTGTCGATTATCAGCTGAAAATATGATAGGAAAAGTCCTGTAAATTATTTCTTACAAGTTTTTCTTTGCTGAAAGTTGGTTTACTGTGTGAAAGCACCACAATTTACTCTTCTTCAATTTTTCATAGACCACTATTTAGTTCTCAAACTGGTTCATCTATACTTTTGCTACCGGAATTTGTTAATATATTGTACTGCTTTAAATCCTTCATTTTTCATCGCATAGAAGGCACTTTTTTGCAATATAAGTTCGAAATTTTGGAGGGTAGTTTTTATCGGTCCATCATAGAATTTACATCTCTGATCCACACACAGTCATATTTGAAATTTAGACTTTAACTTTGTTCCACAAGCCGAATTTCAAATTGTGCGTTTGTTGCGTCTATCTTTATACCTAAATGAGTTTACACAAATATAGTACATATCATTATAGACATACTGTCCATACTTACATTGTGTCAGAATCATCAGACGATCTTCCTAGGTAATTTGCTTAAGAAAATGACTTTTCTTTCTTTTGCAATTTTAATAAATAACTAGACAGAATTTTTTTCCGAAACTTTATGATTTCGCCCTAAATGATGATTTTGTAATTATAGAAATACTGTTTTCTTGCAAAATTCTTAGCGTTGAGTTGCATTCTAAAAAACTTCGAAATTAAGAAGTATCATCACAACAACTCATAGGACTCTCAAGTACTGATTCCTATTCTACTTACATGTATGGTTTAAAGTTCAATAATTATGTCGCGAGTTATAGAAAGTCTACTTCCTCCATTTCCACTCTTTCCACCAGCTGACTTCGTTCGATTTCGAAATAAATTTGATATTTGTAGCCTTTCAGGCAAAGCATTCGACCGTTTCCATAATAATCCGGCCGGTGTAAGTATGAAACTCTTTGTGGTAGAATGCACGCTCCGAGACATTTTTCCTCATTTATCGCGGTCGCCTTTTGTTGGCCGTGCGCCGTCCCCTGCGCCAGTTTCTCTATTTATTTCATTCCCCTGATGGCGCACGATGTCACTGCATTACAGAACTGCTGAAGCTTTTGAAACTTTCTTCATATAAAAGTCGAGGAACTAGTGGTGGAAAAAATAGATGCTGTTGTAACTGTGACCTATACCTGAGTTCGATTGATTTCAATGGCGAAAACTTGTAAATTAGGGATACATATCAAAATCTATAGTATTATTCACTCACAATAATAAGTCATTCGATAGTGAAATCAAAATAGGTATATAAAAATATAAAACTACTGATGTATGGCATCGTGCCTTAAAGCAAATTTCTAGAACTTCCCGTACAGTTATAAAATATTTGAAGAATATTAAATGTTGCAAAAATATTATCATAAGTGATATTTCAAGTATGTAAGTGAGCTTTAGAATTTTAGCTGGAATATTTTTTTTTTAAATTTATTTGAACAGCGATCAGAACTTATGGGTTCTATGAGCTGTTGTGATGAATCTCTTACAAACTACGTTTGTTTTTATTATAGATGGCAACCCAAACAGTTGTCTCATCTCTATGTACTGAACTTTTATTATTACAATTGTTGTAATAGTGATGACTTTTTATTAGTGCAGTAATGCCGCATTAGGGCTATTTTCACTTGGAAACATATTGCTATCTATATTTCCAATTGAAAATCGTTGTCACTGCTGCCTGACAACAGGCTGCTCGAAGTGGGTATCGAACTCGGGACCCCTGATCCAGGTCTAGTCGTTCTAGCCACTTACCTACGAGCGAGCCCTGGAATAAAAAATAAAATCCGAATTATTCTCGATATTCATTTTTTTTTAATGAAAAAAAAAAACCTGTCTTTGCCAAAAACTAATCACCACGTCTCCCTATCAATAGGGATATTTTGCTTTTTAAATATTTCAAATCAATTTATCCGTGCTCCCAAAAACGTGGACGAAAAATTATATCCATACATACGCACACACACACATGTGTACCTACATACATTTTTTCTAAGGTACGCCAAAATGTTCAGAAACCTTTAAAACGTGAAGATTTTCAATTTCGATTTTTGGACGATTACAATAACTCACCCCAAAGGGAAGTTAAAAATATAAACAAATATGTACTTATTATCAAAATTTCTAATCTCAATAAAATATCTTATAATTTATTGTGCATATTTCTAGTGATCATTTTTGACAGTCGAATAGCATTATTGTACTTCCAATATTTAAATTTTGAAGAAACAAACATAAGAATAATTACCTTTAATCCATTTTTAGACTTTTTAAATACAAACTCAAATCCTTTTGCGTTAATCTTTAAATTTCGAAAATACAAACGCGAGAATTATCTTACTCTCTTTTTGAGGTTCTTTATTTTAATATTCAAAATTTGGATTTGTTGGGCCAAAACTGCAGGAATTGCTTTCACAAAAAATTAATAAATTTTTTTTTTCATTCTATGAATGCAAGTAAAATGTTTTTTAAATCATTCAATTCCGACAACTCTCAAAAACTGAACTACCATTTTTAGGTCTGTTTGCCCCTTTACTTCGAAATGGTTGGAATCAGTACGTCTGCCCATCAGTACGAATCGAGTGCTGTTTGAAGTATTCAAATCGGTTGATCCGATATTTTTGTGGTCACAAAATTGTCGACAAAAATATGTATCCGCACACACACACATACATCCTTTTTTGTAAGGTATGCCTAAAAGCTCAGAAGATATATTAAAATTTTCATTTTCTATTTTTTGTGATTACTATAATTCACCCTACGGGAAGTTAATAAAGATTCTTAGATTCAATTTAAAACTTATATAAATGAATTTTTTTATATCGCCTAAAATTTGAATTTTCGACGGCACTAGTTGTTCCAAACAGCAAAAGAACGCACGCACGTACTGAAAACTGTGTAGTATATATTAGTTTTCTTTGCGGCGCTCCGAAGGCGCACTTTTTTTTACTTGATAAGTTTACTTTTTCCAATAACACAAAATGTCTAGAATCAGTTCTTAACTTTTTTAGCATATGGTAAATTTTGCATTTGTATTTGTGAGCGATTTACATGGTTTCGAACTTGGGAGAAGAATATAATAAACTATTATATATATATATATATATATATATATATATATAATAGGGTAGTGCGGGGTTTAAAGGTTCATATCAACAACATCTCAAAAAAAGTTAAGATTGTTTAACAACAATATTTGAAAGTGGATGGAACTCAGCTTGATCACCTTGATCACTTCATTTTGACTCCTTTATTATCTTTAGTACTTACTTTTGACTCTTAAAAAAGAATGAGGGCTATAGCTCAGGTTAATGTAGGGCGGTGACTGGAAGTAATAAAAAAACTTGTTCGAAAAAACATACTTCATCTTTTTTCTTGGATCCTATTGCAAAATCAGTGTAGTTTTGCTGGTATATTGACTGTCACTACTGTACTCTGGCACAATCGTACTCAGTCTTCCCTACTATTATTTTAAAAAAAATTTAAGGAAATTATTTGTGAAAATTTCAAAGATACAGTTGTTATATGGGTTCTATTGGGCACAAAGTCTAATAATCCATTTCCCAAG